ATCACAGCTCACAGCAACCTCTAACTCCTGGGCTCAAGTGATTCTCCTGCCTCCGCCTCCCAAGTAGCTGGGACTACAGGCGCCCGCTACAATGCCTGGCTATTTTTTGTTTGCAGCTGTTGTTTGGCGGGCCCAGGCTGGATTTGAACCCACCAGCTCAGGTGTATGTGGCTGGCACCTTAGCCGCTTGAGCCATAGGCACCAAGCTCCTGTCATTATTGTTTTACCTGGCCCGGGCCAGGTTCAAACCTTCCAGCCTCAGTGTATGTGGCCAGTGCCCTACCCACTGAGCTATGGGTGCCACCAGGGCTTAGAATCTTTTAGACTTGAGTTTGAATTGGCTCCACCAGCTTACTTGCTGAGTGACTTTCAGCAAGCATCAGTTTTTCCATCTGTAAAATGAGAATCAGAAAAGCTGGTTTAGAAGATAATGTACATAGGGGTTTGGTTTAATGTGTAGCACATACTACATCTTTGGTAAATGGTTGCTTGATTACTTTTTGACATCACTGTAGGGAAAAATGTGACTTAAAAGGGAAGGGGACGGAGTAATATTGGGACAGAGAGAGGGAGGTGGCCTTGGGTCATGGGTGCTGTCTGAAGAAAGGAAGTTGCTCTGGGGATGGGAACCTGGCCTAGCCATGGAAGCAGAAGGGTGGGAAAGTCATGAGACTTCTGTAGCATTTTCTGAGGATCCCTGGGGGGTGGGAGGTAGGTATGGGGTAAGTCCAGGGACTAGAATGCCAAGGTTCTTCTTCAGCTGCTGGGACCCCAGATCCACTGTGCCTTCTCTTCCCAGGGAAGACCCTTCGTATTGTGGAGCCACTGGACAGCCGGGTGCCCCTGACCGCTGTAGCTGTCATGCCTGCCCCTCACACCAGCATCACTATGGCCAGCTCTGACTCTACCCTGCGCTTTGTGGACTGCAGGAAGCCTGGCCTGCAGGTCAGAGCGTGTCCAGTTCTCTAAGTATTGGCTCAGTTCTCTGGGGACCTGGCAGAGAAAAGGGACTCAAAATGTTCCTGCCACTTGCTAATTTCATTTGGAGACATATCACCCACAACAGCAAACCCTGGAGGATGGGACTCTGTCCTGTGATGGGGATGGGGTTCTGGGCTTTTCACTTAATGAAAGTGAAAGGCTCAAGCCTTCCAGGTTTGTGGGCTTGGGTAGTGAGCAAGACCTTTGGGAGAACAGGGTGGGGTGGGGGGTGATGCCTCAGCTCAGCCTCACTCTGTCTGCAGCATGAGTTCCGCCTGGGTGGCGGGCTGAACCCTGGGCTTGTCCGCTCCTTGGCAGTCAGCCCCAGCGGCCGTAGCGTTGTGGCTGGCTTCTCCTCCGGCTTCATGGTTCTCCTGGATACCCGCACAGGCCTAGTTCTTCGAGGCTGGCCAGCCCATGAGGGGGACATCCTGCAGATCAAGGTAACAAGCTAGGTTCCCTTCTCTTCCTCACTGCCCAGCCCCTTGTTAGGGCTTACCTGCCCAGGGACAGGCTTGAGCTGGTCTCCCCTACATCTTGTCAAGGGCTGATGGGCTGTTGGCCCTCCTGGGCCAACTCAGGAGACAGGCCACAGAGGTGGGAGCTGGGGGCAAAGCCGACCCTGCTGCTCATGGAGATGCTCTAATGAATAACTCTTGTCCATATTTATCTTGCTTGGAGGATCAGGGGTCAGGCCCTGTCCATGACCCAGTTTAGGTTAAATAAAGCTCAGCCAGGAGGCTGTTTACTGCCCCAGGCCACTGAGCAGAGTCCATGCCCCCTGTTGGGCTGCCCTTGTGGGGGCAGGAGCAAAGCTGACCAAGGGAACCCTCTGCCATTCTCAATCTTAGGCCTCAGGGAGCTTCTCTGGGAGGGACAAGAAAGGAGGATAAGGGCTACTTGTGGGAGGATTTCTGAAGGCAACTGGGCCTCTTCTCCCCGGCTTGGGTAGGAGACAGCGGACCTACATTGCCAAACTGAGGGCTGCTCCCTCCAGGGCCCAGGTGCCTGTAGATTCTGACTTTCCAAGAAAGTGTCAGGAGGGCTCTGGGGTCAGCCTGGGTGTTAATCCTGGCTCTGCTACTGACTGGCTCCCTGACCTTTGTATGATTACTTAACTTCTCTAAGCCTCAGTTTTTTCTCTGTAAAATGGGGACAGTGGCAGCATCTACTTCATGTGTTTATTGCAAAGATTTTTTTTAAAGGAAGATTAGTGGCTCAGCGCCTGTGGCTCAAGTGGCTAAGGCGCCAGCCATATACACCTAAGGTGGAGGGTTCGAATCCAGCCCGGGCCTGCCAAACAACAATGACGGCTGCAACCAAAAGATAGCCGGGTGTTGTGGTGGATGCCTGTGGTCCCAGCTACTTGGGAGGCTGAGGCAGGAGTTGGAGGTTGCTGTGAACTGTGATGCTACAGCACTCTACCCAGGGGATCAGCTTGAGGCTCTGTCTCCAAAAAATAAATAAATAAATAAAGGAAGATTAGTAAGAAATGTTTATTTTCAAATACACTGTACATGGGGAGAATCACAACAAGAGTGATTACCCCTGTTGTGAAGAATTAATGCGATCTAGCACAATGCCTGCACACAGTTAGTTCTCCAATTAGTGTTGACGGGGTTATTGACGCTTAATATGTTACTATTAATCAACATTAATATGATGTGGGAGGGTGGCAGCCTGTCACTCACTCAGGATGGCCTGTCTTCCCTGAGAGAAGGGGGAAGAAATGGGAAGGCCTTGGGGGTATACAGGAGAGCCCAGACCCCTGCTGAGGATGTCCTCTCCCTGAACAGGCGGTGGAAGGCAGTGTCCTGGTCAGTTCCTCCTCTGACCACTCCCTGACTGTCTGGAAGGAACTGGAGCAGAAGCCCACGCACCACTACAAGTCAGCCTCTGACCCCATCCACACCTTTGACCTGTATGGCAGCGAGGTGGTCACTGGCACCGTGGCCAACAAGATTGGTGTCTGCTCCCTGCTGGAGCCACCCTCCCAGGCTACCACCAAGCTCAGCTCTGAGAACTTCCGTGGCACGCTTACCAGCCTGGCTTTGCTGCCCACCAAACGCCACCTTTTGCTGGGCTCAGACAATGGGGTCATCCGTCTCCTGGCATAGGCTGAGGCAGGAGCTGGCTGGGCAAGGGCAAGCAGACATCCCCTCCTTTACCCTTGTTCTCCTAGCAGCTCCCTTCAGGCAGGCCCCAGGCCTCATACCATGTGTACCCTCATGGCCTGCCAGATAGGGTGGGGGCATCCTGGCCCCTGAGCCACCAACATTGCCAGAAGGGGTCTCCATTCATGGCTTGGAAACATATTGCTCCTAACCAGCAGGAAGCAAGATGGAGAGCAGGAAAAAGTATCACTACTCTCATTTCCCCCCAGTTCTGCTCTCTGGGTCCACGTGGAGACAGAGAAGTTCCAGGAGGGGGAAGGGAGACTGGCCCTGCCCAGCCAACCTCCAGCCAACCTCCCAACTCCCCCTCCCCACTGGGCTTTTTCTGCCCCTGTCCCTAAAGGATGGGGAAGCTGCCCTAGTCCAGGACACTGATGGTGCTTGGACTCTAGCCTAAGAAGGGCTGGCCATGATCCAGGAGTTAAGGGCCTTGTTCTGGGATTTAGGTGTCCACTTATCCAGGCCCTGCCCAGTGTGGGAGCAGGAGGGAAAGAAAGGGTAGTATCAGGGAAGAGGAGGTGGGCTGGCCGGTGGTGCCTGCCAGAAGTGAACCCATGCCTTGTCTGCCCACCTCTAACCACAGTGTTTGTGCCTTGAGCTGAGGAGGCAGCCCCTGGGCCCAGAGCCTCTGAGACAAGGGGGTAAGAAGAATCATCTCTGCATCTTGGGCCTCTGCCAGGGTCCTCACATTCTGGAGTGGATATGAGGTCTGAGGGTTGGCTCCTGCTGCCTCCTCACTATTTGCAATAGATGTAAATATGATCAATAAATCCTTTGGAAGAGCCATGGAACAGAGTGTGGCTTGTCTTGATTGTGGAGGCAGGGCAGGGAAAAGTTGAGACTCAGGAGCTTCCAGGGCAGGGATGAGGGGGTGAGGAGGAGGGTAGGTAGGCAGCCTGATCACTGATTGCTCTCTGGGTGGCGCGGGGTACATGGCTTCTGGTTTGTGTGGCTCCAGGCCAGTTTCCAGAACCCTCACCCTTGGGTATGGTGAGGAGGCATTGTTCCTGAAGAGGTAAGACACTGGGAGAGTCTGTACCCCTCTGCATCTTTCCTCTCCCTACCCAGATTGAAAGCAGCCAACCAGGATCCTATGCTTATAAGGCTGGGGGTGGGCATCCTGTCCTGGCTTCTCTGTATAGCTTCCTGCAGCCTCCCTCTCTCCCCTTGGGAGGGGGAAAGGAAAGGACATTGGAAGTGGGCATCTGGATGTGACTCTAGGGCCAGCTCTGTGTCCTTCGGCAGATCATATATCCTCTCTGAACCTGACTGATTCAGGGATAATCCGTACCTCGTGGGGTCTCTGGAAGGCTTGACAGAGTGCCAGGCTCCTGTCCTTTCTGGATAGGCCCTCTTGGCTGGCTAGACCCAGCCTCCTCAACTCTGTCCTTCTGGGCTTTCTTTTTCCAGGCTCAGGTGGGACCCAAATCCATGGAGGTTCTGAGTGGCTATCTGAAGATTAGATGTGCTAGCGGGAAAGGGGCTTCTGGTCCCAATATCAATGTTTAACCGGATGTGCCAGTCAATATTTACCAGAAGAGAAAGCGATCTGAAGAGGGGTTGGCTAAGAGCAAAGGTCCTGGTGGGAAGGGAGGGCTTGACTGGGCTGGTTGGGGCCTGAACAGAGCACAGGGAGCACCCACGTAGGACCAGAGGAACATCGTGGGCGCAGCAAGGAGCTTGCAGAGGTATCAGTGGAGGGGTGGCACAGTCGGCTCCTTGGGCAGGAGGAGAGGTGGGAAGCTACCCAGCCTGGCTGAGGAGTTGGAACTGGATTTACTCAGGAAGCCTATAGTTTCCAGCCCCCCAGGGTTAGCATGGGGCTGGGGGACAGGGAGCTTTAGGAGAAGTCCCTCAGGGACTTGAAAAACTGGAGGCCTTTTCTTGCTAGGGAGCTTCGAATACCCATGTTGGAGTTCTGGCCCCTGGCCAAAGGCTGTTGTGTGTGATAGGAGGGATGGGGGTGATACAAAGATCTTCCAGAAGGATTGGCCTTGACATGGGGGTGGAGTGGAGGTGGCGGTGTAAGACATGCTCTGATAGATCCTCCTGAGACCAAGGTCTCCCCTTGCCCACCTGCCAGCCTAGCTTCCTAGAGCCAGCCTAGTACAAAGTAGGGGTTAAGGGCTGTGATTCTGCTAAGTCCAAAGGTGGCTCTGCTACTGGACAAAGCCACCTCACCACCCCTGCTTAGACCTTGGGGCCTCACAGTCCTGTCCATCCTGTGGACAACACCTGACCACCCTGGGAAAGGCTGGCCAAATGGACAACAGGTTGGATAGGAGCTCAGGTGGGAGCTCTACAGGGGAGGTTTCAGGGCAGGCTTCCTGGAGGAGGGAGCCTTAAGCTAGGCTGACCACACGATCAGTGGTATGCCAGGTACCAGGCATTGTTTTCAGGGTTTAGAAACACTCTTTTTTTGGACCTCACAATGTACATAAGAAGAGGTAGGGACTTTTGCCACTATTCCATAAGATGAGACAAAGGTCAAAGGGGTTAGGGATGCCCAAGGTCCTTTAGCAAGAGTCAGAGTCTGGATTCAGTTTCAAGTCTAACTCACAAGGCAAGCCCTTGAAAAATGAGGACTGTTTTTATTCTGATATTTCACCCCTTTTAACCAAAAAATTCTCAGTGCATGAAATGTGAAAAACCAGAAACTACAAATGGTTGTCAGAGGAGTCAAGGAGGCAGGCCCACTCCTCAGAAAAAAAACTCACTAAAAAAAACCACCACTCTAACCACCCTAATGTGCTTAGAGTGTGTGATCTAGTTCTGTAGTGGCTTTTACTTCTTGGCCATGCTGGCTCAGGACCTGGGCATGTCAGTGAACATGGTGGTGGTGATGGCGGTGGGGGCAGCCTGGCTGGGCCAGGAGCAGTGTCAGGAACTGAGGCTCCCTGTCTCCACGCAGGAACATGGCGCTGCTCTGGGGGCTCCTGGTGCTCAGCTTATCCTGCCTGCCAGGCCCGTGCTCGGTGGTGAGGCTGGGCTGAGGTCGGGGCAGGGGCGGGCAGTTGTGGGAGAGACCCGCAGGGCTGAGAGGAAGAGAAGCTCCTCTAGGGTTGAGGGCAGGTTTGGCTCCAAGAGGTGCCCTCCTATTCTTGTCCCTTTCTCAACAGTTCTCTCCTGTGAGCGCCCTGGAGGCCACCGGCCAGCAGGTACCTGGGAGTGAGAAGCCTGTGAGGGGGAGGAAGACCCCCGAGGTCTGGCCCATGGCTTGGGCGGGGTGGGGAGCTTGTGGGAAGGGTTGCTCTCCATCTGCTTCCTCCTTTTCGCAGTCAATTAATGGGCAGACCCAGGAGAAGGTGTCCCCGTTAACCCTCCTCAAGTTGGGCAACCAGGTACAACCAGGTGGGGATGGTGAAGAGTGGGCGGGGCCAGAGGGAGGCAGGCCAATCCGCAGGGGCAGGATAGGGGGCGTGGCCCTGAGGCTGAGGCTCTGGAGTTCGCAGACCAGAGGGACCAAAGTGGGAAGGACTACAGGAATAGAACAAATGCCCAGAATGCAGGTGCCCACTGTGTGACTCTTCCTCTCTCTTCAGGATGGGACAAGGTCCCAGGCACAGGGGCTATGAAAAAGACCTTCAACACAAGAGCCTGGAGCTGACCTCTTGACCTAACTGATCCTCATCTGTTCCTGCAGGTGCTGGGTGGCCAGACACTCTTGAAGATGTCCCCAGAAGTCTGCAAGGGATCTCCAACCCCAGAGCAGACCCACAGGCTGGCTCAGGCTATGATGGCCTTCACTGTTGACCTATTCTCCCTGGTGGCCCAAACATCCACCTGTCCCAACCTCATCCTGTCACCCCTGAGTGTGGTCCTGGCACTGTCTCAACTGGCACTAGGTACTGTGGCTGCAACAGAGTTGGGAGGCCAGTAAGAACTCATTACTCCAGAGGTTATTAATGGGTGGTACCTCCATCAGGGTCACTTGGATGTTCAGAAAAATGCAGATTCCCAGGCCCCTGCTAGTCTCTATGAATTAGATATCCAGGGACAAGTCTGGTAGCTCATCTGTAATCCTAGCACTCCAGGAGGACTGGATGGGTGGATTGTTTGAGCTCAGGAGTTCAAGACCAGCCTGAGCAAGAGTGAGACACAGTCTACTAAAAAGAGAAAAACTGAGGCAAGAGGATCACTTGAGCCAAAAAGTTGGAGGTTGCTGTGAGCTATGATGCCGTGGCACCTTACCCAGGGTGACAGCTTGAGACTCTGTCTCAAAAAAAAAAAAAATATATATATATATATACACACACACACACATATATATGTATATGTATATATAATAAAAATAGAAAAACTAGCCTGGTGTTGTAATGGGCACCTGCAGTCCCAACTACTCCAGAGGCTGAGACAAGAGGATTGCTTGAGCTCAAGAGTTTGAGGTCTCTGTAAGCTATGACCCCATGGCACTTTATCCTCCTCAAAAATTCCTAGGAATTGGGCAGGCTGGCAGATCTGCTTATTTACAAGTTATCTCTGTGATTCTATGTAAGAGTTTGATAGCTACAATATCTTCCATTGTACTGGAGGGTCTCATTGTGGGAAACTGAGGTCCAGAGAGGGAAGGCAACTTGCATAAGATGAGGTCACCCAGCCTGTCAGCAGCAGAGATGAAAGTATAACTCAGAGGTGGGGGGAGTGCGTATGAGAGGAGGATGTGTGATCACAAGGGCACACTCATTGCAGCCTCTGGAAAGGGCTGGAGTGGGCAGTGGGGGGTAAAAAGAACACACAGCCTGGGGCTCAGCCCATGTGATCCCCTCCAGGTGCTCAGAACCAAACACTGCACAGGCTGCAGCAAGTGCTGCACGCAGAGTCAGAACCATGCCTTCCCCACCTGCTGAGCCACCTTTGCCGGAACCTGGGCCCTGGGGCACTCCGATTGGCTGCCAGAATGTATGTGCAGAAAGGTAGGTGCTGGTGGCAGAGAGCTCACTAGGTAGTGCCCTGGGGTGGAGCATGGTTAGGGACACAGCCTCGGCCTCAGGTAGCTATTCCCAGCATTGGTGACTGTGGAACCCTGAGCCCAGGGAACAGCTTGTGACCCTTTGTGTGTAGGATTTCCTGTCAAAGAAGATTTCCTGGAACAATCAGAACAGCTTTTTGGTGCAAAGCCCATGAGCCTGACGGGAAGGCAGGAGGAAGACCTGGCAAACATCAACCAATGGGTGAAAGAGGCCACAGAGGGGAAGATTGAGGAATTCCTCTCAGAGCTGCCAGATAAGACGGTGTTGCTTCTCCTCAATGCCATCCACTTTCAGGGTGCGCCCCTCCTCTTCCCATGTCCCTAGCCCCGTAAGCTGAGCTGGGCTGTGCAGACTTTGTTCTCAAGGTCCCTCTTCCTCCTCAGGGTGGGCCACAAGACACGGAGTTGTCTGGGTGTGGTGGGGTGGTAGGTCCAGGAACTGGATGAGGTTGTAGAGAGGGTACCATGGGAGAACAATCTGGAAAGACCCAGGTGCAGGTAGTTTCTGGGAACAGTGCAGGGGATGGGGAAAATACAAGCACGATTTCAAACATTTTGCAGAAATGCCTCAGACTGCCTAGGGGCCAACAGGCACTGCGCCCCCTGGGGTCTTGGCCTCTACCTCTCATCCCTTGAATCGGTTCTGGGTGGGATGAGCAAGAGGCTGTGGGTGTGGAACCTGTGCTGGTCCCAGTCTACAAGACCCCTGCCCTCTGCCTGCAGGTTTCTGGAGGAGCAAATTTGACCCAAGCCTCACCCAGAGAGACTCCTTCCACCTGGACGAGCAGTTCACGGTGCCGGTGGAGATGATGCAAGCCGGCACGTACCCTCTGCGATGGTTCTTGTTGGAGCAGCCTGAGATACAGGTCACCTTTGGTTGTCCAGCAGGGTTGTGAGTGTACTGGGATGTCCTACCTTTCTTGCAGGCATGTCGCAGGGGCAGGCAGCTATAAAAGGTTCCACTACATCCCCACCTAGGACTGAGACTGTGGGCTCTTTGAGGTTCATTCATTCACTGAAAATATAAAGGGTATTTGCTATGTGCTAGATATTGTTCTAGGCACTGTTTTTCTTTTTTTGGGGGGGGGGCACAAGGGAGACCAGGTCTCTGCTCTTAGGAGGGAAGATTCATGAACAAATGTAAATTAACAATAATTTCAAACTGGTAAGGCTCGGCGCCTGTGGCTCAAGCGGCTAAGGCGCCAGCCACATACACCTAAGGTGGCGAGTTTGAATCCTCAGCCCGGGCCCGCCAAACAGCAATGATGGCTACAACCAAAAAATAGCCAGGCGTTGTGGCAGGTGCCTGTGGTCCCAGCTACTTGGGAGGCTGATGCAGGAGATGTGCTTGAGCCCAGGAGTTGGAGGTTGCTGTGAGCTGTGATGCCAAGGCACTCTACCCAGGGGGATAGCTTGCAGCTCTGTCTCAAAAAAAAAAAAAAAATTCAAATGGGTAAGTGCTACTGAAAGAAAAATTTAAAAAGAAGGTGATCTGTTAGTGACTGAGGAAAGTTATTTTTTAAAAATTTT